GACCTCGTCGGGCCCCAACGCGCAGAATGGGTTGTTCTTGTGCAAGAGTTGACGAATGTCCTCAACCGTGAAGACCAAGTTGCTTAGAGGCTGTTCGTAGTTTCTCCTTGACAAGAGTGGATTTGACGAAGACGCTGGGAGTATAGATAGACGGGTATAGTGTTCTCTGTAAACCTCAGATACCATGGTTGGGTCATTCGTCGGTTCTCCGTTTCTGTCCCTCAAGACGCGTATGGGACAAGAGTGGATTTGACGAAGACGCTGGGACTGAGTATAGACGGGTATAGTGTTCTCTGTAAACCTCAGATACCATGGTTGGGTCATTCGTCGGTTCTCCGTTTCTGTCCCTCAAGGAGAACGCGTATGGCTTGATTCTGCGGCGATGTTTCATTTATTCGAATAAGACTTTTTTGTTTTTTCGAGCGATGTCCTAAATGGTGGCTTGTTTTCTTATGTTCCATCGGCGGATTTCTGAATTACAGCCGTTGCGAATTTTACGGAATTTCAGCTTATATTCTTTATCCCGTGGTAAACTTTTCGAAAAAGAATTGAGATCCTTTTCCCAGAAGTCGGCGAATCCTTTTTGACAGCCTGCGGTTCACCCGAGTGCATGCTGGTTTTTTTGGGACGACCCATCGCTTCGGGCTCGTGAACTTTCTGGACAATGTTCTTCCACCGAAGCTGGTCCCAGTATGACTTGTTCAAGGGAAATGCGCATTCCTGAGGAGTCTGCACGGCAGGAGTATCGGAACCACGTTTGAGGTTTGGGATTTCTGGTCCAATAGCAGATGAAATCAAAGGTCAGCACACAGTGGTCGCTATGTCCCAGTGGAGTGTTAGGTGTTACCTTATCAGCGAAGTGTCTCTCGTTGGTGATGACCAAATCCAGGAGGGGTGTTAGTTGGCCTCCTTGGTATCTGGTGGGAGCAACGACATGTTGAGTCCAAGCGCTCTGTTGAACGACTTCAAACAGCGCCGCTGTAAAAAGTCCGCCTGATCCGACGCACTGGAGCTCCATCAAGGGGTTCTTTGGGGCGTTGAATTCACCCACCAGCAGATGAGTGAAGTGGTAGTTAGATGAGAGTTGCTCAAGGGTTTGTATGAGGAATTGGTCATCTTCAGGGGGACTCGAGGGGCTACGGTGGACCACACCGAGAAGGAGAGAATTGGACCCGTGCAGCGGGGTTTGGACCCACATTGCATCGTTTTGAGTCGGCTCGAAAAATAGAGTAACCGTCTATCGAGATCTCCGCTTTAGTGACATCTGGTATATGCCAGGTCTCTGTGAGTGCGATTATGGACGGTTGTTCAATGCAGGCTGACTGTTTAACTACGCCAATTTTGTTTAAAAGCCTGAGGCAGTTTATGGACAAGCATTTCAACACCGTCTCTGCTGCCTCCGAAGATGAGAGGCCGAAAGTTGAGTGGCCACGGAGGTTAGTAGACTTAATAGTTGTGCGCCGTGTTGGAGTCCAAGACTCCAATGGGCCTCTGGGGCATAGTCATATGCTTCATGTCTTGGTGGTTTCTGGGGATGCTTTTCGCTTGCGAGGCTTTAATCCCCCGTGAGAGCTTGGTTTGCCCGGCCTTTTAGCTTTGAGGGAAGAGGATTTTCCCATGGGCGAAAATTTCCACCAGTGCTGTTTGTAACTCTTTCAGCATCGTCTCTATGGCGACCAGATTCGCTGTTGATCGAAGATTTGCGCCAAACTTTCGCCTTTCTGGTTTCTTGGGCATTTCGGCACCGTTTGGCCGGAAAATTGTCTCTGTGAGGCTCTGAGCGCTGGGTGCTGGCACCAAGAAGTAGTGCTTCTGTTTGCGCTCTCATGAGGCTCTTTTTCGTAGATGACTACACCTTGAAGCCAGCTAGCAGTTTTCTGATCTGGCGAATCCTATGTGGCTTGTTTGGCTGCAGTCGCCTTTCTTTCGTGTTTGTGTGGATGCCCGATCCGCCGGTGATCAGCGTGCGCAACTGGATGTACGAGGATGTACGGGGGTTTCTGGTTTTCTGCAATCACGTTTGTTGCTTTGGCTCTCGGTGTCCCGGGCAACGACTGTGTCCACAAGTAGAGAGGCCGCTTTTGAAGGATTGGAGTAGGAGACTGGCAGTTTCAGATCCTCAATGGTGGTCCGGTGGTCGCAGGATTCTTCAATGTCGAGGCCAATGCATGTGATTGATTTGTCGGTCGATTACGTTGCTTGTCCCCGAAATTCTGTCTCAGTCCAGCTCAGAAGCTGTGACTTTGGTGATAAACAGCTCAAATTAGTAGAGAGGCCGCTTTTGAAGGATTGGAGTAGGAGACTGGCAGTTTCAGATCCTCAATGGTGGTCCGGTGGTCGCAGGATTCTTCAATGTCGAGGCCAATGCATGTGATTGATTTGTCGGTCGATTACGTTGCTTGTCCCCGAAATTCTGTCTCAGTCCAGCTCAGAAGCTGTGACTTTGGTGATAAACTCATAGCTCAAATTTGTCGTCGGTTGCGGAAATAGGCGCTGACAGCTCTACTTACCTTGGGCGCTGCTTCATGTGAGGCTTGCATCCCCCATGCCATCACTGCCTTTGTTGGCCGAGGAGTCTGTGGTGGTCGATTAGAAATAGCTGGCCGGAGACGCGGCCGGCTGCGTCGGCATGCTTTCGGGAGCTCAAGGGGCTATGGACACAAACGGTTTGGTCATGAATTTTGGGTCGGCTGGACTGGCGCCAAGCGGAAGCCTGTTTCGTGACTCTACACTTTATCTCCTGTCACCCAGCTTTCGCGCTGCTGGAGGGCGATCCTGAGATAGGCACCTGGTCGTTGGGTAGGGCTTTTGAATGCTGTCAACCGGCTCCAAGATCCTCTGTTGGGCAAATGGGGAGGAAAGTGCGACAAGAAGCCCAAGTATTTACTTGCTTCGCTTGTGGCGTAACCATTCTGCGTGAAGCGATGTTATCAGGATTAGTGAGGACACTGCTGACAAACGACTGTGCCAGCTTCGTTGGATTTTTCCGGAGAATGACCCCCGGATTATCAATCTGATTCCTCTTAAACGCCTGTCTACGGGGAATACTGTGGAAGTTTTACTACCGCGTCAGAGAACTGTATGACGTTCCCCGAAGCCAGCGAACCCGGGATGGATAGCGCAATGTACTCGTTCAGCGAAGAATGTTTTTTATCAACCAACGTCCAGGTTACTGCATTCTATGTGTTTGTATCCTCCAGTGCTTTAGAAAGAAGCTCCGGTTTTGCGTCGCACGTCCATCAAAGAGGAACACTTGCGTTGGCGTTTCTGATTCGGCAGTTGAGTTTGAGTTTCGTTTCGGGGGCCATCTTCTTAGCTCCGATATGCATTCCACCCTCAATGTAGAGGAAGCTTGCCC